GGAGCAACCCTATAAGGGCTACAGGCGGAGTTACTGTTAGCTAAAGTCCAAACATATTAAAACCTTTATAAGCAAAGTTGGATGGCGGTTAGCAATGGAATCCAGAACGCGCGTTTTATTCTATTTAGGACTCGTCAACTGGATGTACTTACATCTCAGAGTTGATGTTCACTCTGGGACTAAAATCTAGTTACTAAAATTCAATATCAAAGCAGTCCGTTCAGAATACATAGATATCAGTAGAGACTGATCAGTTGTGGTTTAGAATGTCAAAAACCATAATAACACAATCTATTATGTATGATACAATCATACACAGTGATCCTTTTTTTATGACTACTCTTCAATGTTTACATGATAGTAAAATCGATATTAAAAGGTAACATACTTATAGATTGATTTTGGCGAAAATTCTGAGTTATTTTATCATATTTAGATTTTGATAAATTTATCCTTGACAATGATTTTATTCAACGGTATTTAGGATCACTTAACTTGTAATAAAAACAATTACTAAACAGTTAAATGTTCGCACCCTTGTTTTACTACTTTTTTTATCTTCATTGTCAAAATTGTCAAATAATTATAGGGATCTTTAACATTAACATTAATTCACTATCGATTACCCCGACGAGCGATGTTTTATGGTGTGGGAGTAGGTTGGAAAAAACCTAGAGGCGGCCAGACCAAAACATGGCACAAATCCATGAAGTCACTGACAAGTGAATTGAACCATGTTGGTAAGTGTAGACTACCTGGTTGTGATCCTCGAGTCGATAGCAACTGATTGTTAGAGACCTTGAATGAAATAGCTCAAAATCGTTTGCAATGACACAGGTGCATCCACTCTTTATATTCTCCCAAACTCTAATCCTCTGAATTCTTCTTATCCCTTTCTTTTTTCTCTTTCCAAATTTATTTCATCAGATTATACTCCTTGAATAACATCCACAAACCATAGTCTTTCCCATTACTGTTTATACTTTTACTACCTCTACCACTATGGGTTTTGAATCGACAGTTGTATCTGTGTGCTAATGTGGTATGGCAACTTGTGCTGATATGTGTTCGTACGAAGTTTTGCGTTATTGCTGACTGACTGAAATCACATTTCAATGAAGTTAGTATCAATCACAGCTATGTTGACTGAAATACTAAGTGTATCACAAAGATAACACATTTGATTAATCCGTTAGTTGGACGCAAATATAAAACCCGGAACATAAATAGATTGATTCAAATTGTTAGACCTCATTAACATAGCTGAATGAAATTTTCAGGGTGGATCCCAAAGTTGTAAAATTAGTAACACTGTTAATGATAATAAAGGATTTACATGATACAAAATTATCGGCTTTTTGTCAGTTAAATAAAACAAATTGAAGATCTAGATAAATCAGCCGTTATATTAATAAAAGCTGGTTCATAATTACTGTTCTTATCAATTGTTTTAACTTGAAACATTGTAGTGTTGTAACATGGTTGTTTGCCAAATCATCAGTTGTTTTATGACCTTGACTTTTATATTTAAAAAGTTATTTGTTATTTGATAAATTATAATATCTGACTTGACCATTTCATGTATGATTTGCGATGCCAACTTGGACCGATGCATGTATGTGCCTGATCCTACTTTGTGACTGACTGACTGAATATATTTGACCGAACTGCTAGTAGTTTAATCTTATCTAATCTATTCCGTTGATATTTGTTAAATAGGTGGGGGAGCAAGTTGTCACTTTACCTATTGCAATCATTTCACTAATCCTATCAATTGATTTGAGCATTTGTATTACGAAGAGTCGAGAACCCTTATTTAGGAGATGAGACACACAATCAAGTATGAAAATTCACTTCTTGTTAAAGCACTTCATTGTTGCTATTCTACTATACTTATGCATCCCTGTATTCAAAAATTTCCCTTTTAGATATATATTTATCCTAAATATTTCATTTAGAGAGGTTCTAGAACTTTTTTAGGATTCTTGCTCTATGATCTTACATAGGTTGAGGAATTTGTTTGTGAGATAAAATTCAAATGGTTTTCGGAAATCATGATTTAATAGTGAATAAATTGAAACCCTATCAGTATTAGTGCTTTAACTTGATAACAGTTCTGTAGGAATCAAAACTCTTTGAAACAAATTTCTGATTCTAATGTACAATCTTAAACTAGAAGCAGGTCAAGCAGATTTAAGTCTGGTATATCTTATTATGTAAAATTAATTGTTAAACTGATTGTCGCTTAAATTTTATTCTAAGTCAGTCATTTTGTAATTAGGGTAGAGGCTGACATAAATGTCTACCAACCCAAGTTACTGTACCACATTATCATAACGAGATAAAATGGAAAAGAAGAGTAACAAAGGAATAGCAATGATAGTAGTTGCAACGATGGTGATAAAGATCAGATATTATTAGTCTTATTCGAAAAGAATAGATGAATTCGATGAATCAAGCGTATGGAGATAAACATGAAGAGTGATTCTGATCCTCGTCACTCATTGTCTGTAATAGATATTCATGGTTATCTCATAGACACCAAGTCGTCTGGATCTACTAACACAATCCGCTCAAGGACTAACTAGTCTGTTGCCACATCTTAAAATCTACTTCTACTCCAATGAATGTTGTACATCAAAGTAGGCTGTATTTGTGCATATGTAACATAGGCTTTAGTCTCATCAATAAACCCCGCCTTTTTGTTATTAATTTTTGATGATGTGTTATAGTCGTTAGATCTCGGTGTATTTGTTCATCTGAATATAATTAAACATGTGTTGATGGATTGATTCAATGTGCATTGGTAATGACAGTCACGAGACCATTGAGTCTAGTGATGGTCTTTACGGTCATTATAATAAATCAGTTATTCTCTTTAATGTTATTATTTTAAGGACGTTTATTTAAAGACAACAATTTGTATGATTTCATTGAAAGACGCTAAACATACGTTAAACCTTTCTTCAATTTTCTTAGTCAAAGGTTTCAATTTATAGAATATTGAGTACTATGGATTTCATATGTCAACAACTTTTCAAGTTCAACCTGTAAAATAAATCTAGTGCGCTATTCGTTGATTGTTTCCTAAAGAAGGATTTTTTCCATAACTCTTTTACCAGGTACTTGGGTACGAGCCACACTTTTAGCTTAAATGATAACTATCTATTCACCTAGACCGAAATAGGTGGGACGAGGTTCGAATCTAGGACTGGGTGTTGAGCATCTTAAGCAATTAACTATCAATTTAGAGTATTTCATCATTTCTGTTTAAATGTTTCCAAACAAATCACCATATTTTCATAGTTTTAATCACGTACCGATCTCAGCTAGACCATCACGAAAAAACAAGAGACACCGGACAACTGTTTAGTCTTAATATGGGACGACCCAGAAGTGTGCGCCTGCGACCTCTCATCCAGGAATGAATCTCTAGACTTCGGTTTTCGCGCGCAAACGCTTTTCATTTGAAAAGCCGACACGGAATCAATGGTGTACTTGTCTAACTTCAGTCGAGTTATGATATTACACAACCAACTATCGCACACTGTATGTGATTGAACTCCACGTCATCGTATGTCTGTAAGCTCTTGTGATTTTCAAACTTACTACTGTATCGGTATTGAAATGAGGTCACTGCCTTTAAAGTAGCAATGACTGAATTCTTACACCAGTTTTACCGATTCGATTATTTATACATAATCTCATCAATAAATGAAGGAAATTTATTGATGTTTTTATGATTGAATTCATCATGGAGTGGTACTACTTCAAGTTCGCTAAAGAAAGTTATCCAAGAATAGACTTTATAATAATAATACATTAGATAATCGACTGTTTGATTGTACCAACAATGTCAGTAATAGTCACAATACCCTTGAATATTTTCAGTTTGAAGATGAAAATAGCGATAAAGCTAAAATGATCAAGGCCTCGGTTGAATGATTTCTGAACTGAAAAAGTAATAATTAATTCAGTTTATTTGATTCAATCAGCTACAAGGTAGAACCAGGCTCATATATACGTCGGTCCAAGTTACCACACCTCACTAGCACAGCAAGATGAACACCAGGTTCATAGAAGTTGTTAATTCATTGGTGGTAATATATAAAATAAAGATTTTGTATAAGGATATAGTACGGAAATAAATAATTAGTTCGTAGAAAGAAGGATACAAAGCGATTTTCATCTCATAGTTTAAGGGAAGACAGAGACTGTATACATCTACGTCATTGTGATCGATTCTGAGCCATGTCACTAAGAGTCTCCAACCATTGGTTACAATAGTCACGCGGACCCCAACCAGGTAGTCTGTATCTACCAACATGGCTCAGACTAGAAGTTAGTGACTTTGTGGACTGATGCCACATTTTGGTTTGGCTTCCCTTAACTTTCTTCCAACCATCTCTAACGCTAGTCAGCATTGCGCGTTGTGGTAATCGGTGTTCAGGCATACGTAACTCGTGACTCAACCACCTCACTCGATGAAGATTCACAACCTCATAAACTGATTTACAATCATTCCCTAGTACCCTGCGTATAATTCATTATTACTTGCCCGGTGATACCAGCAGATGCGAGCAATATTTCTAAGACCTCTGTGGTCGAATACTAGTAACTTACTAGTATCTTCTACTCTTAATGGCCACGTTTCGCAACCGTAAAGTATAACAGAACGAACTACTGGGATGACTTTTTAACGGAGCACACAATTCGAATAGGACGACCAATTGGTTGTCAGTTACAAAACTGTCAATTCTGTGCATCATTTGCAACTATTATTTATTATACAATTGTTTTGTTTTTTGGTTCCTTTCAAAATGTCAACTCATTTCGTGTTTATTTCTTCCTTGTTCAATTATTAGGTAATCACTGTATGAAATATATTCTTTGAAACACTTCTAACACTACTATACTGGTTAGGTTGAGTAGTATAGTAAAATTTCTAAAAAAGTATTTTATTTTCATCTATTCGTTTGTTTTATATCATTTATTTTCAGTGATTCAGAATGGTGGTTAGTTGAACATTCTGGACAAGTTGGTTACATTCCATCATCTTATTTAGCTCAAGCCAATTCTGTTGAAGCTGAAGAGTGAGTTGTCATAATGTTGATTCATGCATGAATTAATCTTCTCGTTTTTAATAAAACAAAACGTGCTTAGTGTAGTGAGTTTGTAATGATTGTTGAATTCTCATATTTTAAATCATGGATTGATTGTAGTTCGATAATCATTTAAAATCACATATTACTGGGTGGTAGTTTCATTCTAGTGCTTCCTCGTTTCCCGCAGTTGTCTAACTATGTTCTCATGATGTAAACTGTGAGAATGTACATATTTGTTTTACTTACCAGTCAATTTATCATGTACACTGATTTAAGACACTAAATACCATTACAGACAGTGCTGAGTAGATGTTAAGGCACCACGAAATTTCCCACTCTTCTACAATATGAATAATATAGATGGAAATCAAATAGTATACATTTATTGTTTACCACAATAAATGGCAGTATTTTATCCAGTTCAATTCTATAAAATAGATCAACGGTAAATAAGGAACATTTATTTCTTAATTAATTTTTAAGTAATGTTACTATATATAATCGCTTGATTAACACTATCCTGTCATCATTAAATATTCGATCAGCATGATGTTTGTCTTTATTTAGTGATGAATTTTTGTAAAAAAGAGAAATATCTGTCCGTTTATTCGGTCCATTCTAATGACCATGTTTACTGTTGGTCGACTTCATAATCTTCATATATCTTTCCAGTTCTGAAGACTGTTGAACACAAAATAGCTATGAAATGATACGATATATTTTGACATATCAGTGTTTAGAGACAATTGTGAATGCATATTTTATTAAGGAAATGTAGATGTTTCTAGAAGCACAGTATCCAGAAAATCTCAAATTAAAAGACTTGAATATAACTTCAGTTTTTTGTTTTACACGGAACAGATCAATAGACCATGTAGTTAGAAACTGAAACAACAAATTAAGACAATAAAACTTAAAATGACCATCATGTTTGTTTTAATACTTTAGGAATATCTAGGGAATTCACTTCTACATAAAGTAAGAATTAATAATATTGTTTAATATCACCGAGATCGAGATCAACATTGATTGTTTCAAAACCTCTTCTTTGTATTCTATTGAAAATAAGTATTGATTAATTCTAGATTATGTAAGCTATCAATTTATCAAAACATTAATAATTTGAAACTGATCTGTTTTAACCCCATAGCATAGGGAACTTGAGTTAATTGTAAATTCACTTGGTTCTTGTTTTATCTGTATTTCTCCATTGTTATTTATGACTATAATTTGTCATTCTCATGTTGGTATATGTGCATCTTTTGCAGATTTCCTTGATATTACCTTAAGTCCTAGAGTAAACATCAACTCTGAGATGAAGGTACATCCAGCTGATGAGTCCCAAATAGGAAGAAACGCTCATCCTGGATTCCACTACTAGCCACTATCCATCTTTACTTGAGTTAATTTTATCCATTTTTTTCTTGGCCTAATATCATGGGTTTCATTATTCAATAATGGAATTCATGTAACACATTATCATCATTGCTTGTTTTAACGATATTCCTTAAAAAGGTTATAATTAAAGGCAATTATCCTACTGATATTTTGTTCAGTTTTTTTCTATTATTTAAGATTGAATATATGGTACCTTTAACGTAAAAAACAACAAGTTTTCCTTTAGTTTTTCTTCTCTTTTCATTTTATTAATAATAAATACCAACAACCTCCATGAAGTAATAAATTGTAATAAGGTCTAGTATAATACACCTCCTTGCTATAGCCATGCACACATACACACATACACACACACACACACACACACACGAAAACTGACTAACAACATAACCTTTCTACTTGAATTCTTCATAGATTTACAATTTACTAATAATAATTATTGAGTTAAGTTGATTCATTTGTAGTATTTCAACATCATAATTGTAGATTCATTATCTATAAAGGTTATACATATCAGTTATAACTGCCTTTCATTCTCCACAAGTAGAACTGGCATACAACTATAGTTTTTATGTATTAGTAAACATATTTATGTATAATATGCATAGAAAATCTTTTTTTAAGAAAATAATAATAATGAATGCATTCACTCCAGTATGAATCATGTATTGTTTATCACTGATTATCTCTTTGATTTTCCCTCTTTTCTCTCCACTTTCATCGTTGTTGTTGTTTAGATTTTCCTTCACCTCTTTTCATTTACACTTTGATAATTACACAATATAAATAAACAACACTAATGGTGATAACAAGAATGTTTAGTAAATAACAAATAAACAACAGTAACAACAACAACAACAACAACAGCAACTAATGATTGACCCAGTAAAAAGTAGTAACATGTAGATGATAAAAGCGAAATACAAAACATAAGTGTTACTTAATCTATAGTTATTCACATATATTTTGTATAGTTAATAAATTATCACATAAATTGTATTACCATTGATGTACAACTAGAAATAAATTGTAATATGTATAGATTAAACCTTGTTACTATCCCCACTCTTAATCATTTAACCAAATAGTTGTTTATTATTTGTTTCTTTTTTCCATGTGAAAAGTAAAACCAAATAAATCATAAGGAAAGAGATGTGAATAAACGAATTGATTTTTTACGTGAACATTTCAAATTCATGATAAAATACTGCTTGAATAATGATAATAATAATAATAATAATAGTATTTTCAATAGTTGAAATCATGATTCATTTGAAGCTAGACCGTCATAGAGAACCTGAAAGCATTGGATGGCCGTTTGGTCCTATTGTAGGACTCTTAAGCGGTGTGCATCCACGATCCCGCCTCGCGAGATTCGAACCCAGGACCTATCAGTCTAGCATCAATTGACTCATGATTTCAACTATTGAAATTACTGAAATCTCCACAAAACCCCTTCTGATAACAATCATCTGCTCACTGATGACTGACATCAAGAGACATTTCCTGGAGTTTTAGTGAGAAGCCGTCACCAGTGGAGTTCAACCAGGTCTGTTGTGAGATATCAGCTTACTGAAGGCAATGGTGTACGGTGGTGCAATTTCGTGGATTGGTTGAAGTTAGACACTAACACCATTGGATGCCGGCAGTCTCAGTGGTCTATTGGTTAAGCACTAGCGCTCGAGACTGATAGGTCCTGTGTTCGAATCTCGCGTTGCGGGATCGTGGATGCGTACTGCCGAGGAGTTCCATACTAAGATTAAACGGCCGTCCAATGCTTCCAGGTTTTCCATGGTTGTCTAACTCCAATTGACTGATGATTTCAACTATTGAAATTACTGAAATCTCCATAAAACCCCTTCTGATAATAATAGTATTCTAGAGCCAAAACTTGAATAAATATCCCGGTGATCATTCAGTAGACCATCAGTACTCTATAATTCGCAAAACTACCTTTTCACCATATCCTCCGTCAAAAGATAATGAATCAGTAGTTCAGTACTAGATATTATTCAACTTTTCATTAACTTTAACATAATTTAATTACTAGAAATTTCAATGAGACTATAATGTATGGACGACTTTTAAAGGACTCTAAAGTGACTTTGAGAATGTTCACTTGCCTATTAAAGTTAAATGAGGGCTATAAATCTATATGAACAATAAAGATTATGATTTGTAGTTGATGGTTAGGATTAAGAATTCGATTTAGAGTTTTCATCACAAACTGACATCAACTAAATGGATAAACGAATTTCGCACCAAAATCTAAAACCTATTACCTTAAATCTGATTAGTTCGTCCATAAATTATACTCTCGCCAAAATTTCCTGATGAATTCATGTAATTAAGTATCCATTTTCCGTAGAATTTCAACATATCATGAAATCTTGATTCTTTCTTCTTTCCATACACCATTACCGTAATCTTTTTCAGTATCCAAGAAAAGATATATATTGTATTTTCTTAACCAATGGATGATATTTTATGTTATTCGTAGAATTGGTTCATTGAGACTACTTAGTAATTGAGTACTGTAAACTATGTGGTGTAATTTACAGCCCTTAAATGCCCTGGTACGGCCAAGGGTGAGGTGAGTCGACTTTTCCTCTCGAAATGTTCTCACATGGCCACGCGTATACAGAAACTAAGTGGGAAGTTCTATTCACTGTGTTCTTGAGGCATTACTGTTGTTTACGAAATTGAGAGGATGAAAAATGAATGTCCGACGCTTTAACCGGGTTGGTGGATATGGAGGATCTACCTAGGGGGGTTGGAAAACCCTCATTCCAAACCAATAGTGCACATGGGCTCCAGTATTCTGAAGTAACAAATGGCGTACGAACCAATTATTGGTCATCTTCTAACATGAGATTGCATCTCCTTACGTTGCTTCACTGCCTTGTGGATCAGACTTTTAGATCGAAGACTCTGAGTGTGGCCCCCTAAGAAAACTACGTGGTTCAGTTTGGGCACTCAAGCAGTATCACAGCCCTCAAACAAATCAAATGAGATTTGTGTGGCGCACATGTATCTGGTGACCCCTTATACCAATATCTATGTGTTCAAATAAATAAAGATGTAATTTATAAATCACTTGTCAGTCAGTAATATACCTATACATATTAAATGTTTGACGATTAGTTAGGCATAAGTTTTTTTGTTTCCATCTGAAGTCTAAAGATGATATGAATTGGGAAAAATAACACTAACCAGTTGTAAGTTTATGGATTTTTGTAAACATCTTTTAACTTATAATTGCTAAATGAAGCATTAAAATAAAATAAAGTTATTTCAGTTGCCAACTTCTTGAAAGTGACCATTCAAGCATGAAAATCAATAAACAAATACCAACAATCCCTTTTTTTTTAATGTCAAACCCTTTGTAATATATTTAGTCTTACGCCTATCGAACTATTATTCAATTAGTGACTATACTATTATTATTGTAAGAGAGAAATGTTTTACACTTCATTACTCTCTGATTAATGATTGTCATCGTTTTAACAATCTTTTAGGTAAGTTTTAAAAAGTAAAAAGTTTATATTCAAGGATTATGTTTATGATTACAACATCGTAAAATGACACTA